TGTTAGTTGCAGTGCACATGTAACAAGCTATTTTAAACGCTAATATAGCAGATTCGTGGGAAATTACATCGGTAATCAGCAACTAATTTATGAATGAGTCTGCATCAACTACATTAAAGAGAATCGCTTTATTTAAAGTGAATAAAATACCCTACTTACTGGAGTTCAACATTAATTGAGCCGCAGCCACACACCTGATTCGTGTGTGTAGAGTAGGTGAGATGAACTGGGAAAGCAGGCAGTTGGCCAAACCACTGTGAGGAAGGGGAGGGGGAACTTTCAGTCTTTCAGAATTATTTTAGGTATACATACATATATTTTTGACAATAGATAGTGCGATTTTTTTTTTATAATTTTTTTTGGGGGGTCAACCCTCAGATAGGGGGGGACATGTCCCCTCCGTCCCCCCCGGGATTTACGCCCATGGTTATTTCCTTTTAGTGGCTGCATGTCTGTAGACAAAAATCCTCATTTGCAATTAAAGTTGTTTATAGACATTTTTTAAATAAAAATATAAAAAAGGTTCAAGGTACACAAGAAAGTACACAAGGAAAGACATTCAGTAATATTATAATATCATCTATATAAATATAATGCATGCAAACATTGCTCAAGGTACGTGATTTCTGTACACGGTGCCTGAATCAGCTGCAGAATGAGCTCCAAGTCTCCATCAAGGTGGATTTCATTACAGATTTCATCGGCGACCTGCCGTCCGAAGGTGAGTAGGAGCCAGGTTTCTACCAGCAGGAGGACACTCGCTGCAGCGAGCAGGATCTCGTCAGTGTCCCAGGAGTCTGTAGCACACTTCACGGTTCTGATAGCTGCAATTTCGTTCCCCCATCTCCCCCCTGTGCTGTGTGCTGATTTAAAATTATGTTATCCATTAATTTATACCTAGACGATTCCTCTGTTGTTTTAATGTCTTTCTATGAAAGTGTTGCAGTAACCAAACCATATATCCAAAAACATCACGTCTTTTTGATGATTCTGTGTTTTCAAAGATAAGTAAATTGATTTAAATCGTTGGTAATAGATGTTTATTGGGAAAATACAGAAAATGGTACAGAGCTTTTCGGATCTAACCTATATTATGCGTGATGATGGATTTGATGTTGTTTATTCTAATTATAACTTAATTGTAGCAACTTACTCCTTACATTACATCTTCAGATATTAAGTGCAGCCCATTAATTTAAAGAAATCTGCGCACTTGAGCTCTTCAGCACTTGCGCACTTTGTAGTATCACAACGCGCTTGAACCCAAAGTTATTCATGGCCGAAGGGAGAGCAAATCAAGGCACCATAATGTAAACAAGTCATGACGTGTTTAATGTTTTTAAAATGATGATGAGTGGTATAGCCCATTAGGGTTACCGTATTTGGTGAGACGAAAAAGAGGACGTGTCAGTGGATCAAAATATTCATGAGTTGTCACGTTCACTGACCAATGAGGTATCGCTCCTCATGAATATTAATGAGGTAACCACTTTCAAATACATCTTGCAAACGCACTGTTTGCAAGGCCTGCAGCATTGTGCAGGACCCATCACATGCCACATATCGTCTTTTCACTCTCCTGCCATCCAAGTGAAGATACTGCAGCATCAGAGCCAGGTCTTCCAGGCTGTGTGACATTTTTTACTGGCTCCTCAACACCATGCTGCCCACAAGAGGATCCCTCAGAATGCCTCATCACTGCCTCAACCCCCCAACCCACAAATGGAAAGCCACACACCGACACTTAAGCGCTGCACTGCACTTAACACTTTGTCACTGTCACATGGGGCGATAAGAAGAATCCTCATAATTCTCTGTCTGGTCCATTATTCTGCTTCTATCACTATTTTCGGCTGTTACTGTTATTGCTACTATTATCATACACTGTGAACTCAAGCTGCTACAGTGTAGATGTTGGTGAACTCGGGTCTAACTTGCTACCTCTGATAACATTAAACACTTAACATATAGTTTTATCAATATTGCAGATTGCCATATATTGCACAATGTATACTTATTAAATTGCACTATCCTGTATGTCCTTTGCACATTGTCTTGTTTTGTGTTTTAATGCACTAAGTTTATGTTTACACTGTGGTCCCTGAGCTTCGCCATTTTGTCTCTCCATATACTTGTATATGGTGCAGATGACAATAAAGTTCACTTTGACTTTGATCTCAGTACTAGACCTTTGTTTTAAATGTCGATTTTCCACCTATTTAAAGCATCTGCCCCATGCCCTCAGTACAATGCTCATACTTACAGTAAGCATTACTGAAACATACTTGACATGGTTAAGAACTGTATGGACTGGTGCTGGGGGGTTTTCCACAAAGCAGGATTTCTCAGTTAGAAGTAATGATCGTCCTATAAGAGTTTAGGTAAGGAGTATTCCAATTGGACAGTTATGACTTGTAGCTTAAGTTAACCCAGCTAACTGAGAAGTGTTGGGGGGTGTTCTACAAAACAGGATTTCTTTGCAGAACACGACCCCACCACCCCAGATGTCCGCAGTCCTGAATACTTGTTATACTTGTGTTATGGATGTGATCGGAAAACATTGTAAGTTTTATTAAAATTAGCGATGCGATATTAAGAATACGCAAGGCAGGCTTATTATCGTGAATGAAAACATTTCCATAAACTGAAATAAAATGAGAAAATAGTATAAAATGCACAAAAACTACAAAACAACTACAATTATTGCATCTGAAACAAACAAATGTGAAATACTTCCTATTACCATTTTAAAATACTATGTAGCTAAAGTAATGATTTGTTGGTTTATCTTTGGGCTTTTTGTGCGATGCACTTTTGTGCAAAGCACTTGCAACAATAGAAAGAGCCAACGGCACAATATCTCGACGTTTTGTGGAGGCTAGTAAAGTTAGCTTTCCATCTATCCCTATAAACAAGATTACTAAAAGTAACATATAAATACAAACACAGAGAGGTAAGCAGTGTGTACTGATACATCATGGAGTAGAATTACTTCTGACATTTATGGCGTTCAAACCATCTGATTGCTGGCTCAGATCCCGAGCCTCAGCGTGATCATACCTCCATGTTCCAGGACAAATGTACACAGTGCTGCTTGAAAGTTAGTGAACCCTTCAGAATTTTCCATGTCCCTGCAAAATATGACTTAAATTCTCATCAGATTTTCACACTAGTCCTAAAGGTAGGGGAAGAGAGCACAATCGAACAAATAAGACAAAAATATGATATTTGGTCATTCATGTATTGAGGAAAATGATCCAATATCACAAATCTGTGAGTGGTAAAAGTATGTGAACCTAGCGGGTAATTTGAAGGTGGGGTAGTATCCAGTTTAGCTATAGTTTTCAGTGTTGAATACAAGTTTAATATAAGCACGGTTCCCATTCACATCTGATTGTTATCGCATTGATTGACAAGCTTGACAGTGATTGACGACACCCGACTCTAAATAAGCAACCGGGGAGATGCACAAGAAGGGCCCAGAGAGACAGAGATGTAAACATGTAAGCAGCAGCAGAATAAAATAGAAATATAATTTCAGAATGTTTTACTTATGCAAATGTCATTTTCGAGAAATGTTTGGCTCACATTATCACCAAATTGATGACAATATCACCATTTACTACAAAAATTTGAACTCAATAATTAACAAAATAATATATAAGAAATAAATTGAGAAACTAAATTTCCTGTTACAGACAATTTATCTTAAAATAGTTTGATGTTCAGAATGCTCCTCACTCCACTTCACGCAACTTTAAAACACGCAAGGACCATGTTAGGCCAAAAGCTGAACAATGTTTGTGGGCAACACTCTTGATTTCCCCAGGAGATCTAGACATAGCATATATGTGTGTATGTGCACAATGAATAAATGGAATAAGCTGCTAGTTACATTGAACCATGTGCTTGTGCTCATGTGCACAAGCACACACACACACACGCCGATGGTCAGGGGCTTTAGAGTTTAACTTTAGGTCTGTGAAAGTAGGACCGTGATGTGTATTCAAGCCCACATAACACACTAACTTAGTCGTTCACTAACTTATCCAAAAAAAAAAAAAAACAGACAGAATAGACTTGTAAATTTTAAAGAAAAGACATTAACGGTTTTCGTTAATGTTTGAAGGTATAAAAACTTTAGATGTATTTGTTAAATAGGCAAACAAAAATGTGTTACTTTAAATTAGTATACAATATAACCTTAGCTTTAGATGCAAGATGTACACCCCCCCCCCCCCACACACACACACACAGCACAGCACAGGACATGGGCACAAGCATGCACCCAAGGGTTGGCCTTTAGAGTTTGATAATCAAACTGTATGAAAAAACACCAGGCATATATAGTTTACGTTTTTTCTTAAAATGTATAAGGATTGTTTTGTTATAGCGAAATTTTAAATTAGTATGAGTGTGATATAAGTCATTTAGGCAACAAGATTTGAGGAAGAACCTATATAGCGGCTAGAAATGATCGACCAGGCAGACAGAAGGGGGCTTTCTTATCTCACAAGCCATGGAAGGGTAGGGGGTGTAGGAACTGCGGAATCAGGCAAGTGTGTAAGAATTTAGGATATATTTTTGTTATTTTAAAGAAGGTGGACATGGTTATTTAATTACATTTAATAGGAACTAGTAAGCTGCATTTAGCATCATGCAGCAAATTCACATTAAAAACTTTAAAGAATAATGCCTTAGTTGTTTTAATAAAGACATTCTTCAGTAAATGTCAGACACGTCCAGAGTAGCCACTGAGCGCCGCCGTCGAAATGCCCCGTCGCCATGCTGCCTCCGGTGGAACCCCGCCCTGACCGTCTGCCTCGCTTATACTGGTTTGTTTCCTTGATTGAAAGACTCATCCAGCTGTTTCACATTAACATTAGTGACACATGTATGATCATAGGAGACTGACCAATCAGCACACGGCAAGAACTCAAGTGCTAAAGTGAAATCCAGGTCTTTTTAACTGAAATGGTAGTTTACAAACCCTGTCCCAGCTCATAGTGACCCCCCCTGACATGGATTAGGTGACCATCCAAGTATGTGTTGAACCATATGGTGCGTGTGATGGCAATTCCCCATAAGATAACATCCCCCCCATCCTCCATCTCAGTCACATGATACCCAGTGCAAATGTTATCATCCCCTTTCTGACAGGCATCTTCATGGTCCATTAACAGTGACCATAGATGACAGGTGCCACCATAATCCCATCACCATATCAACACCTACTTCCTTTTTATTGCCTGAACTTTGGGAAAGAATTGATTACTGAATAAAATCACAAGGATCCTACCCCGCACTCCAGTCCATCATTAAACATCCAAATGGATCCATATTCTCCGAACTTCATGGCTTGGAAAAGGTCTTAATGATCTGCTGAAAACATCACAAAGGATATTTAAAAAGTGTAATTCCTACATAGTGAAACCGAAATGTACACAAATAACTTTAAATGAAAGTGTGGGATGTGCACTTTAATCCTGTCTGAATTGTTTGATTTGAAGTTATAAACTGTGGAGCAGAGTGGGAAAAATGTGTCTTTGTACTTTATTTACGAACAGGCAATATAAGTGTATGCCAGGAAACTGAGTATGTAAGCATAGCATACGTGTATATCCCATGCACAGTGTGAATTAGGTCCCCACATACAGCTTTAGTGCTGAGGATTCTCGCATTTTCTGCGCTGGATATTTTACGCAGGATCATGATGATACCGCTGCGATCGTGAATCTGATCCTCTTATATTTCTTGGCCCGTCTCGGCCGGCAGGGGGCGTGGCCGCGTCGCCCAGCTCGTGCCGGGAGGATGGGCGGTCGCTTAGCCGGAGATGCTGGGAGCGGCGTGACGGAGACAGTGCGTTGGGATCCAGTGAGATAACGCGCTTTCTATGTTTTATATTCGTGGTCTTTGATGTTTATTAAGCTTCGTCGTTGTGGGGGGAGAATATCGCCTCGCGTTTTATGTATTGATGCGATATTGATTATAATTAACATACGGACGGCCAGCCGCTGGGCGCCGGCCGAAAGCATCGCTTAGCGTCTTGACAGCTATGGTACCTTGCTGATCTGGCCAGAAACCAGTTTTACAGACGGTGCAGGATCTGCGAAAGTAACGGAGCATTAATCCATGTCTCTAGGCCCTAGACAAAGGCAGGAGGAAAGCAGCGCCTCTCCGGTTAATCGTATAAAACCATTTCGGCAACTGAACCCCCCCTTCTCCGGGGCTGCTTTACTGACCTGATCTGGGATATGTTCGGATTACCATATTTACTATAACATTTACCACATAGACAGTTACAGCCTGGATCAGGAGCCCCATTCAAATAAACGCGCGCGCACATAAATATTTATGTAGCCTATGTGCTTCCTTCCACTGCACGCGCTTTATCTTCGAATAAATCACTATATTTTAGTACTTGTTTAAGGATTAAACAATAATAATATTGTTTAATATTTCCTAGTCATAATAAAGTGATTCTTTTGGGATTTTCAGAAGTGTTCTGTGAATGCTCCTTTCACTTGTCGTGCACCTTCGCGAGCTGTACAGTTATTTCGCGATGTTCAGCTGTCACAGAGTGACGGAGTACCTCCATTGGCTCCGGCCCGGGGGTACTGGCTCTGGCTCCAAAACGCCGTCCGGCATTTCCCTCAGGGTTCAGGCGGAGCTGGACAGCTCCTTGCCGGCGCTCAGCGCAGCGATCAGAGCCCTGAAGTGTGCTACTGACTCCCGGGACAGTGACGAGATCTTGCGCGCCGTAGCCAGTGTCCTCCAGCTGGTAGAAGAAGCATGGCTCCTGCCCACCATCGGACGGCAGGTCGCCGATGAAATCTGTAATAAAATCCGCCTTGATGGAGGCTTGGAGCTCATTCTGCAGCTGATTCAGGCACCGGATATAGAAATCACGTACGCAGCTGCCCGGGTGCTTGAGCAAATACTGGTTGCAGAGAACAGGTATGAGGCATTCACATTTTAGTTAGTTGTCAAATGAATAAGCGGGTATTAACATAAACCATCGTTTGTGGACTTAATAACCCTGTTTAACATGCAGCTCAGCGCATTTCAGCTCCTGTCGGAGAGCTTTGCATGTCTGACCAGGATCGGTGTCATGCGCTCTGCAGGGACTACATGGCTAGGATGGGCCTCGGGGTGATCCTGAACCTGAGCCGCCAGCAGAGGGACCCTCAGCTGGTTCACAGTGTGTCTGGCATCCTGGAGCACATGTTCAAGCACTCGGAGGAGACATCCTGCCAGCTCATCGATAACGGGGCACTGGACGCCTTGCTGTTTTGGTGCCGGGGCAAGGATTCCCGGGTTCTGCGTCACTGCGCTGTGGCACTGGCTAATTGCGCCATGTACGGTGGGCACAGCTGTCAGCGTCTGATGATCGAGAAGCAAGCAGCCGAGTGGCTTTTCCCACTGGCGTTCTCTGAGGAGGACAAGCTGATCCGTTTCCATGCCTGCCTGGCTGTGGCCCTCCTGGCAGCTAACCGGGAACTGGAGAAGGAGGTGGTGCGCTCAGGGACACTGGAGCTTGTAGAGCCCTTCATCTCATCACTGGACCCTGATGAATTTGCCCAGGCCCTGCAGGACAGTGCTGACTGCATGCAGGGCCGTACCGCTGCTGACCTGCAGCACCTGCTCCCCCTGCTGGACGGAACGCGAGCTGAGGGGAAGTGCATCGCAGCCTTCTACCTCTGTGTGGAAAGCAGTATTAAGTCGCATCAGGGCAATACCAAGGTGAGCCAGCCCTCGCAATGACATCAGGGGCACTGCTGCCACCACAAACCTTGTTCAACCCTGAAGAGAAAAACACTCTGAGCTGACACTGAAATTTAAGTGGTTTGGTCGGGCATTCAGAGAGGAGACCCTTTCAAGCTGCCAGTGGGATTTGGATCTGTCAAATATGTGTTAGTGCTGTTGTTATTGTCTCTGTAACACCCAGGGTGGCTGCCCCCATCTCCCTCCCTCATCTCCTTCAGATATTCCATGAGATTGGCGCGGTGCAGAGCCTGAAGCGCATTGTCATGTACTCGGGAAACGGCACTGCCAGGCGCCTGGCCACACGGGCACTCGCCATGATGTCTGAGGAGGTCCCACGCCGCGTTCTTCCCTCCGTGGCCAACTGGAAGAGCGGTGAAGTGCAGAAGTGGCTGAAGCAGATCGGCTTCAGCGCCTACTGCGAGCGCTTCCAGGTGACTGCGCCACACGGGTCCCGGCACGGTAGCACACCACAGAGTTCCCGTTGAGGTCTGCTGTAACTTCAGATGCTCTGCTGTCTCTCAGGAACTCCAAGTGGATGGAGACCTGCTACTTAACATCACGGATCATGATCTCTGCCACGACCTGGGCATGTCACAATGCTTGGCTCGCAAGAGGTCAGTGTGGGGTGATGTCCAGTTGAAACATAGGCGTGTAGTTAACTGTGTAGCAGCACATCATGCATCCTGTAAACACCTGGGATTCATAAACATCCTTCCTTGTTGGTAAAGAGCTGGTACCTGCTGAGGCTCACTCAAACCATGCCACCCACTGGCTTGTACAAGTATAGGGGAAGGTTATTATTCATAATTGATTAGAATATTTGACTGATCACTATCTTTCTTTTGGCTCAACCGTAAGGTTCATCAGAGAACTTCGAGTCCTGAAAACCTATGCCGACTACTCGATGTGTGACCCCAACAACCTGGCGGACTGGCTGGCCATCGTGGACCCGACTTTCCGGCAGTACACCTATGGTCTGGTCCAGTCCAGGGTGGACCGCCAGAACTTGCTCCAGATCACAGACCAGCAGCTTGAGTCTGATTGCCATGTAGCAAACGGCATCCACCGGGCCAAGATTTTATCTGCGACTAGGCGCTTCTCCAAGCCAAGTCTTGTCGATTCTGGGCCGGATGGCCCGGATGTCTTCATCAGTTACAGGAGGACCACTGGCTCCCAACTGGCCAGGTGAGGAGTTTGTGTGTGTCAAAGTCAAGGAAGGGGAGCTGAAGGCCTCTGTTTCTGCCGCTACTGAAGGCTCCTTAGGGGTGACACATCTTGGGAATTATGCAGAATGTGCTGTTTCATTGGGTATTTCTGATTCCGGTGATGAATGCAAAGTGAGGGCACAGTAATATGTCATATAAACTCGAGGTTGTTCACTATGGAAGCATATGTGTAGCAAAATTCAATTTGCAATGCAATATTCAAAATGGCAACACAATATGCAAAATGGCAATGTAATTCTGTATTTAAATTTACATTTTCTATCACCTCCACACGTGCAAAATTTGATGCAGAATGAAATTGAAAATTAAATTATATTATTTACATTTGCCATTTCCAACAGTAGTCTTAAGTTGTATAGTGCATACTATTTTAATGCTTTATAAGTAGCAAAATGAAAATGAAAATGTATAACCCAAATTGATTTGATATGTGTAACGTGTCCAAGCAGAAACAGTAGCAAAATTATCATTTAAATGTTATTTGTCCTAAATGCATTTAGACTAACAGTTAGGACTCTTACGATTGCATTTTCATCATGACGCCGTGGGATATTTGTAGCAAAATTCAATGCGGCTTTGAAAATGCATTCCGAGCTGACTATTTTGCTACTGTTTCTGCTTGGACACGTTACACATATCAAATCAATTTGGGTTATACATTTTCATTTTGCTACTTATAAAGCATTAAAATAGTATGCACTTTACAACTTAAGACTTCTGTTGGAAATGGCAAATGTAAATAATATAATTTAATTTTCAATTTCATTCTGCACCAAATTTTGCACGCGTGGAGGTGATGGAAAATGTAAATTTAAATACAGAATTACATTGCCATTTTGAATATTGTGTTGCCATTCTGAATATTGCATTGCCATTTTGCATATTGCATTGCAAATTGAATTTTGCTACACATATGCTTCCATAGTTCACACGTGATTTATACCTGTAATCTGTCATGGTACCTTCCATGAATATAGCTTTATGAACATGTTATGAAGGTATTATCATGAGAGCAGAATCTTCTCAAAACTGTGTAGTTGGTGTGGATTGACTGGAGGGAGTCAATGTGAAGCTCTGGTCCCTCTCTGCTGTCTCCAGCCTGCTGAAGGTACACCTGCAGGTGCGAGGCTTCAGTGTTTTCATTGATGTGGAGAAACTGGAGGCGGGGAAGTTTGAGGAGAAGCTGGTCCAGAGCGTCCAGCGAGCAAGGAACTTCATCCTGGTGCTATCGGCCAATGCGTTGGACAAGTGTATGGGGGATGATGCCATGAAGGACTGGGTGCACAAGGTCTGGCCTGTCTCAGGGCATGCTGCTCTCTATTGTTTGTCGTGTCGCAGCCAAAGCCCCACTGTAGTTGGATGTTCTGTCACCTACAGGAAATAGTCATGGCATTGAACAGCCAGAAAAATATTGTTCCCGTCATCGACAGCTTCGTGTTTCCTGAGCCTGGCACTTTGCCAGCTGACATGAGGCCCATTCTCAACTTCAATGGCATTCAGTAAGTAAGAAGAAGCTTGCTGCCGTCTCGAGTCCATAGGGGCAGATTGTAAACATCAAAAGGCTACAGCCTCTCCTGTGTATCATTCCAGGTGGTCTCATGAATATCAGGAGGCGACCATCGAGAAAATCCTACGCTTCCTGAAGAGACCCACAAGCCATGACCAGGTGGATTGCCAGGAGAGCGCTCAGGAATCACCAAGGCCTTAGTGTGGACTGGATCCACCCTGGCATTGTGTTCCCTGACCGCATCGCTTGTAATCCTGCCCTCTCTAGATCTGCTTTGAACATGCTCACCACTCTGATCCCAATAGGCCAGTCTCTCCATTAGGAAATTTAGGCTGTTGTCTGTGCATGTTGTGAAATTTCTACTGGTGGAGACTGGCAAACTTCACCTTTCTCTCAGGAATCTAAAGATAGAAACCTTGTGCCTCTGAAAACCCCAAGCTGTATAAATAGCAGAGTTACCTACCCTGCCTTAAATGCCCTACTGTTAAAGGTCATTCGCCTGTGAATATGTATATTGTGTCAGCATTGTCATCCAGTTCTACTCCTGAACTGTTTGAGCATAGGTGTGATTTGTACCCCCCTCAATGGTGCTGAAACTAACTAATGGCAGACATCCATCCAAAATGTGTCCATTTTATAATACTGTATGACATTCAAATAGTGCCCGACAAAAGTCTTGTCACTTAACCAAGTTGTAGGAACAACATATAATAACTTGACCTGTAGTTAATCAGTTGGAATCAGAAATGGCTTATAAGAAAGGCAAAGCCCTCTAGATTATGCTTATTATACCAAAATAAAGTTTTTCATCATTCATTGAGTTTTGTCATGTAATTAGGACAGAAAGGTCAACTTTTGCCTGGACAAAAGTCTTGTCATATACAAAAATAATGTAGAAATTATACATATACTTTATTTAGAATACACAAACATGCTACAATAACATCAGAACATAAAGTCAGCGTGCCTTGGAAGAAAGAATTAATAACATGTATGACTTCCATGAGCTTGGAGGACCGCATCCATACGTCTTGGAAATGACTGAAATAACTTGTTGATGAAGTCATCTGGAATGGCAAAGAAAGCAGTCTTGCAGGACTCCCAGAGTTGGTCTAGATTCTTTGGTTTCGTCTTCCAAGCCTCCTCCTTCATCCTACCCCAGACATGCTGTATAATGTTCATGTCTGGTGACTGGGCTGGCCAATCCTGGAGCACCTTGATCCTCTTCAGTTTCAGGAACTTCAATGTGGAGGCTGAAGTATGAGAAGGAGCGCCATCCTTCTGCAGAATTTGCCCTCTCTTATGGTTTGGAATGTAATGGGCAGCAAGAATGTCTTGATACTTCAGGCTGTTGATGTTGCCATCCACTCTGCAGATCTCTCGAACACCCCCATGGATGTAATCCCAAACCATGATTTTTCCTCCATCAAACTTGATTGTTTTCTGGGTGAATTTTGAGTTCATGTGGGTTCCAACAGGTCTCCTGCAGTATTTGGTATGCAGTTCAATGGATGATTCTTCAGAAAAATCAACCTTCTGCCACTTTGCCACTGTCCATCCTTGCTGCAAGCTGTGGGCCTTGGCAAATTCAACACGCTTTTTTTGTTGTGTTCTCATTAATGCTGGTTTCTGTGCACTAATTTGGCCATGGAGACCACTGCGTGCGAGAATTCGAGAAACTGTTCTTGTAGACACAGCGGTTTCTGGTGACCAGTTCTGATGTCGCTCTGTTGTAGTTGAAAAAGGGTTGGCCCTGGACTTTCGAAGCAACAAACGGTCCTCTCAAAGAGTTGTCTTACGTGGTCTGCCTGACCTGGGCTTGTCATGAACATCACCAGTTTCTTCATATCTTTTTTTAATCCTCTCCACTTGATGTTTGGATACATTAATGACGTCTGACACCTCAGCAGACTTGGTTTGTGGTTGAATCTTTGGCATGTTGTCTGAAGTCAGGTTACACTTCAAGTGAAGGTCTGGTGTGCTGGGGTTCTTTTTATACACACCTGGGATTACGTTAATTACAGTATTTGTCACAGGTGAACCTCTAATTTGTGATTGGTTGAATAATTAAAAGACATGACAAGACTTTTGTCCTTGCAAAAACAGGTGTTATGGACTTTAACAAGCTGTGAACATCAGGACACTTTTTGACTGTTTCATTTTGCACCCAGTTATTAATGTGAAAGCCCTTGGCATTAAATTGATCCATTTATCGTAACAATTGATTGATTAGAAATAAAGTTATATGCCTTTTTAAGTTACTATGTCCTTATGTGACAAGACTTTTGTCAATGACTGTAGGCTTCAGGCATCCAATAAGAAAACAGCAGAGATCTGAACTGAGATTGGTGTTTCATTCTAAAGTGATAGGGCTCCTTGCCAATAGGGAAAGGCCTCTTCACTAAGTCAGCCTGATACTGCACTTCTCAGGTTAAGCTGGAACTTATACAGATGTTCCTCGCTTTACCATACTTACCATATTTTAACTTTATCGGTTTTACTTTGCAAAGCACATTATCCCTGCCCAAAGCCCCCAGTAAGCAAGCCAATGGTAAGGGAAACTCTCTAGAAGGAAGAAACCTCAGGAGGAGCCAGATTCAAAGGGGAAGCCCATAATCCAGGCTGGCACAGGAAGTCAAATGAACAGGATGGCAGAATCTTTATTTACACTGTCCGAATTTTTAAATTAAGTGAATGCAATACGTAAGCTCTGGCAGATATGGCTGTGGCAGCATAAGTAGGAGGGAAAGGCAGGTGGGAACGCAGGCATGGGGAGTCCCTGAACATCAGCACTCCAATTCCACGAGGGAGTGTGAAGCTAGAGTGACAGCACTGACAGTTCAGCTCATCCAAAGCCAATGGCACCGATCCCCACCCAGCTCTGCACCTCACAGTGTAGGCTGTGGAGTGAGTGGTTAGCTAGAGCTAGAACTGCAGTCCCTATAAGCTAGACTAAACAAGTGTGTTCTTAGTGTAGTCTTGAATACTGAGTGTGGGCCTGAATCTTGCACATCTGCTGGGAGACGATTCCATAGTTCTGTAAGAGAACGCTCTGCAGCCTGCCGCAGTTCTTTCTACGTTAGGTACTAATAATTATCCTGCTCCTAGGGATCGAAGCAGGTTACAGTGGTGCGATAGCGATGCACATAATCAACATGCCGTACTTTCTACTGATGCCCGGCAGTGACATCATCCACCCAGCCACGTTGCCACACGTAGCGAGGGTAAACATTGTAAGTCGAGGAGCACCTGAATTGACACTGTACTATGTATAAATATTACATTTCTAACTGCCCGTTCTCTCAGAGGTATAGGGTAATATGACATCAGTAACAAAAACATCTCCTCTATATTTAGCCTACTTTAGCTTACCGTTTAAGCTGAACTCATGCAAATGCTGAAGTAGCGGATCTAACCTGCATCAATATGAGCTTCAAAATTAACCAGTGCTGTCGGATGTTAGGGTAACCCTGTTTGTCCCGTGCACTTATCTGTCGACCGGACTGCGTCCTCCCTCTTTGGCGCGTTTTCGGCCACTCTGCGTTGTATTTATTTTACTGGAGACGAAGGGACGACCATGCACACAGGAGCGTTCGCTTTCTTGTTGGTCCGCTGCCTCTGCAGTTTATTTCTTGTGCAGAACACATGAACACTCAGCGCTTTCCTTCGACGTTACAATCGGATTCAAAAGACTTTTATATAAACACTGTACCAAGTCTCAATAACCAGAACATTTTAGCAGATTTCCTAACGACCGCTCCATATCCGTAGTGGGATACTTACAACCGATATTAAAACAATTAATTACTGCAAATAAAACGCAATGAATAGTACAATATGTTATAAAACACAATGCTACTGCCTTATAAAACATCTTGGGAACATAATTTCAAAGGAAGACTTAAAACAATATTACATTTTCACTAACTGAAAAGAAACACTCCTTACCTTGTGCAGAACACATGAACACTGAGCAAGGAGCACTGCATAACCTAATATAATTACTAATTGCATCTAATTACAATTAGATGATAGACGCCATCTAGTATCTGGGGGGTGGAACTACACCCTACGTTAGGATGAGCCTCGGCAGCATGCAATACTATTCTGGTTTTGTTTTTTGGAAATGTTAAGGCAGCATTAAACTGCCCACACTGCCTGTGAGGGTGTGTACTATATACTGGATGCTTTAAGCACCATCTCCCCTTGGCCACCCCAGCTGGTTAGAGCTCTGCTGGTTCATAACTCGTCACGTTTCTTGAAGCCACCTGACACTGAACCTGACCGTGGTCAGGAGCAGCATGGTGGTCAGCTGCCTCTGGCTTTCAAGTTGCGCTTCTCTCATGCTGTTTCCATCCATCCATCTGTCCATCCATCCTTCTATCCATACCTTTGCCTTAATATACATGTTAGATGTATTCAGACAGAAAGCAGCATGCTGAACTCCTAAATCAATAAAATGCCAACACAGAATATAGAATATTTTTTCTGTATTATATGAAACAATCACATCTTCTTTAAAAAATCAGTTAATATGGCTCATTGCCTTCTATTCAGCAGTAAGATAAGCGAATTAACAATCAGCCCCTGATTTCCCCCTGACATTTATTCAAATACTCCGGCCTCCCCCCAATCTCTGTGGAGATGGCATCTGCTTTCCCTCCTCCAGGGGGAGCTGGTGTCTGTGGGTTGGCGCCATAGCCTTGTAGGAGCCAGTCCTCTGTATAGCAGATTAACTCCGATATTCCTGCCTGCAGAAGCAGGCCAGTTATTTTCGTCTGGATTAGCTTGGCACAGAGCTGCAGGTTACAGTATCAGCATTTAAATATCAGCACACCATTGCTACACTCCCTCCACTGGCTTCCTTTAGCTGGTCACATCAGATTCAATGATGTGATGCTCGCCTACACATCCAAAAATGGACCAGCACCCTACCTAAAAGAATTGATCGCATCCCACACTGCATCACGCTCTCTCGGTTCCTCCAGCACCAGTCAACTAGTCCCACCATCTCTCAAGGCGCAAAGAAGACATGCACCTAGGCTTTTCTCTGTTTTGGCATTTAAATGGTGGAATGAACTTCCCGTAAATGTCCAAACTTCTAAGTCACTGGGTGCCTTCAAACGACGACTAAAAACCTACCCCTTTCGGAAGTACTTGGATTAGCACTTCCAGGACTATACTGTTATTTTTAAAAAATGTATTACTTGCCAACAGCTTTTAGAGTGATAGTCTGATTAGCCAGGTTCTGCTGAACCAGTATCAGAATGCATTGACTGATGAGACTTCTAAGCACTTATGTAAGTCGCTGTGACTAAAGGCGTCTGCAGAAGAGCTTTAAATGTAAATGTAAATTTTAGGCTTCAGTTTATATATGACAAGAGCAGCATGTCTTCCAGTTACAGACTGGGGACAAAGGAGCACTTCATTTCAGTTTGGAAGGCAGCTTTCCCCTACTGTGTATTAGTAACAGCAATATTACGGGTACCTGATCCATTCATCACAGTGCCTGTGGTCCAGACCAGGCTACTGACCTGATTATAATGTCAGTCTCCTCATCAGTGCCTCATGAAAAGGAGAATTGTGCTAAAAAAAATTAAGTTAGACTCCTTAACATGATCACTGCTTACTGTAAGCTGCCAAGTTCTTCAAATATTCAGTTTGCAGTTAATTCTTTAAAAAAATCTCTTGAAGTATAGGGAAGTTTGAAGTATAGCTTTGCTCTAGTTTCAGATGCGCATGTTAATGATGCATCTGAAGCTGCAGTCTTTGTTCCTGCTTTCCCTCTTCCCTGGCTCTCCTCTGGCATGACATGCTGTCAGGATGCCCCCGCGGCCTCCCTGCCAGCCGTTCTCTGTTCCCAACACCTGATGGCTCTGTGGACACAGAGAAAGAGGCGACGTACATTAACAGCAGCGTGCACATGAACACAGAGAGGGAGGTGATGTATGCTAACAGCAGCGTGCACATGAACACAGAGAGGGAGGTGATGTATGCTAACAGCAGCGTGCACATGAACACAGAGAGGGAGGTGATGTATGCTAACAGCAGCGTGCACATGAACACAGAGAGGGAGGTGATGTATGCTAACAGCAGTGTGCACATGAACACAGAGAGGGAGGTGATGTATGCTAACGGCAGTGTGCATGAGGAAATCCATGCCGTTAAAACACTCAGCAGCCGCATTACTTTTTACCAAAACTCCTGGAACAAATTTCTTGATCTATTTATCCTCAAGTGGAGAAGAGAACCCAGAAATCGCACTTCACTAATACCCCCCTCCCCATATACACCCTGACTCCGCCTTTAGCCTTTATAAGCTAATGACAGGACTGGGCAAATGAGGGGACGACCCTTACCCAATGACGGCCATGGGGATGAGGAGGAGGCCAGCTGCCAGCAGGAAGGGCAGCCCCTTCATGATGTGCAGCGTGACGGGGTACAGGGAGCTGAAGACCCCACTGGCCACCAGGGCGCAGAGCCCCTCCACGCAGGCCACCGACGCAAACAGAGCACCTGGTGGGGGGGGCGGGGGGGGGCGACAGGGCCCATTTTTACATACATTCCTGGGGAACTTCAGCTGTACTTTCAGACAGATATTTTGCATTTAATGCTTAAACCATATTGGGGAAAACATGTTTGTATAGCTATAGAGTTTTGTGGTGCTAGGGGGCGCCAAATTCTGTAGAGGTAGTTTTTTAAAGAAAGAAGCGCCAATTCCCAAATACGACTGTCATAAGAAATTCATTTTCTGACCAACGTGCGCTTTTATGACCAAATTTCTCATGCCTGACAACACACACTGCAGTGAGAGATCTATTCAGTAGAATGTACAAAATAGTGGAAATGTCCAATTTATGAAGGATGACAAATTGAGAACGTAAGTTTGAAATAAAGTCGTAAGCACAGTAATGGTCACACCCACGTTATCGTGATTTTCACCTAGCGACCATTTCGCTTAATGATCTGGTCACTGGAACAGAACTCAGTCACTAAGCGAGTAGTGGCTTTATGCTTTTTTAGAAAACCACTGCAGAAACAGGAGTCAGAACCTCTGGACCGAAGATTGACAGACAAACAGGCTTTTGGCTCATGCTTGTATGGTCCCTACGTGAGGTGCCATCGAAACCACACAGAACCACAGCAAGCTCCAATCCAGGCCCGGGCTCACCTTGCTCCGAGGGTCCAGCCAGCTTCGACATTTTTGAGCGCAGTACCGGTGTGGTGGCCAGGAAGAGAAAACACAGACCATAACCTGGTGACACAGAGGAGGAGCGTCAGAAGAGGTGCCTGATGGTGACTAAGGCCTGGCAACTACACCATCTACCAGCCATGATCCCAACACATCATACTTGTTAGACTCAATAAACTAGACATGGTTGTGCTCCTTAAATCCAGCAGATGGCACTATAACACAGGGATCCGGACTGCTACAGCACCAAGCTAGGCCAAGTGGACTTCCAACCTTCATGCTGATACGCTGACAGAGTGCAGCAAACATGCCAATGGTGGAAAGAGCAAAGCCTTTTTGAAACAGCTGCGACGTGGCACTGATATGTAGTTTTCTGTGATCCGGCCAGCCAGGAAGTATCGAGACAATTTTTTACAGAATTAACATTTCATCTCATTTATTGATTCCTTTTTATCAGTTATATAGTTTATCACCTATTTTCACACCATGCATTTTGGAACACAGACTGTGCGCCTTTGCCCACAGACTTACCCGTGAACATGAGGCCGGTGCTCCTGGCTAAGGAGATGACCACCAGGCCGGCCACGTTGGACACCAGACCCGCCACAGCTACCCAGGAGTCCTCCAAGCAGCATTGCATGACGCGCAGTCCCAGCAGGCTGCTCAGGTAGGCCAGGTAGAGCGCGGCAGAGCCCAGCCCCACAAGCTCGGGGCCCCAGCACAGCGGCTCACTCAGCTCGTACAAAACGTAGAGGTCCCGGCTGCCGAAATGCACCGTCACCACCACGAAGAAGCAGAGCAGGTAGAGCCAAAGCAGGCCTCGGCGCCGCCACCCCCCTGCACAGTAGAGCCGCCGGAACGCCGCATGGTGCTCCGGCGTGAGGAAGCGGGCCGCTGGCTCGGGGCTCACGGACTCGGACACGAAGACAAACACATAAGCAGCCGCCGCCAGGTTGCAGGCCAGCGCCAGCCAAAAGGGGCTGGTGTATCTGCAGAAGAGAGCCGGCAGGAGATGTCAGCAGCTCACCTGATGGGACACTTTTGGCGGCTTGTGAGGATCGTACAGGGCGCTGTACTGGCAACCAAATGGAGCTTCATGAGGCATTTGCTGTATTTTCTGAACCCACCAGATGATTCTAGATCAGGGGTGGGCAATCTTATCCAGAAAGGGTCGCTGTGTATGCCTGTTTTCATTGCAACTCCCTAATTAGATTACTAATTAGCGGAATGATTGGCTGAAGAGTCCTCACACCCGGGTTTGAACAGCTGTCCTAAATGTTATCCTAAAAACCTGTATACACACCGGCCATTTGCAGATAAGGTTGCCCACCTCGTGCTATATGATTCAAAAAGGCTAGTGGGGTGAAATATACCAAAAATGTTTTGTGAAGCCTCATTTGGTTATTTCCTGTCGACGGTAGCACCCCGTACCCCTGCGCCCGACGCCATGGGCCTCCAATGGCACCAGCAAGCATGCCAGCCACCCCAAGACTGGCCTCCAACACGGCCACGCGGAAGGTGCGGGAGCGACCGCTGCTGACGTCGGCCACATAGGCGAAGCAGCCGGCGAGGATGGCGTTGAAGTCACCCGTGAGAGCGCCGAGGAGCCGCCCAACCAGGAACCACCTCACGGGCAGCTGCAGGTACATCACCAGCAAGTAGATGGTGGCCTGCAAGGCCAGGCCCAAGCTGGCGATGACGAGCACTGGCTTCCTGCCCACTCGGTCGCTCCAGGAACCCAGCAATGTCACCATGACGACCCCCACGGCGAAGCCCCCCAGGTTGATGTACATGCTCCAGTGGGCGGTGAGGGTCTCAACCTCCTTGGTGGGATGAAAATATGAGGGCAGAGTGAGAAGTACTCTCTAAAAAAAACTTTAAAAGTAGATATCTGGCCTGCATGGACCAGAAGCACCCTCAGAAAACACACAGCATCATGGGAAATGGAAACTGGCAATTTCCTGTTAAGTCTGACATATGTAACAGCAAGAGAATATGAGCTGCACTATTACTTCTACCATAACGGCCAGAAGTGGGAGCACTTAAAGTCACTATGAATCTAGTTCTGGAAGAACTTTGGACAGGTTTCCTGAGTATCTCATGGACCATGTCTCATGGTTTAAGGTTAGGATTTTGGGGTTAACGTTAGATCTAGGGGGTTTCGTTGTTAATGTAAATTACAATGACAATAAAGTGTTTTCCATGTTAAGGTTTTAGGGTTACGGGTCCCATGTAATACGGGATCGTCCCGGTTTGGAAAATAAACTGGTGTGTGGCAACCCTAGTTACGGGATTTAGGGGTAGAATTAGGCTGCTTAAATGCCGACTGATACTTATTTTCACTTTCAATTTCATAAATACAAAAAAGTTGAGTTTGTTTATGTTAAATCACAAGCAAAATATGCAGCACCGAACATCTCCGAACAGCACTCTGATTCCGCCGTCAGCCTGCCAGTGCGTTGCGCCCTATTCTTCCGTCCCAGTCCCCCTCCGCTTCCCCGGTACCCTGTCCCCCACCTTCTCCAGCGCGTCGGGCGGCCCACTCGAGTTGCCGCATCCCCGCGTCGCAGTCCCGTCGTATCCGACGGCGGCGCTAAACCGCTCCCAGAGGTACTGCGTGTACAGCGGCATCTGCAGCGCCAGTGAGAACATGGAGAGGAAAAGCACCGGCTCCACGGTGACGCCGAGCCGGCGGGGAAAGCACCTCGGCTCCCGCTTCGCCCCGTCCTCCGGCTCCGGCCTCCCCCCGTCACTCGATCTGCCGTCGTCCTCCGGTAGAAGCGCTTCGGTGTCCGAGGCGTCCATGACCAAACTGGAGCTCCTCTCGCAAACTAAGCCACAGCAACTACTTCCTGGACGCCTAACACCTAAAAGATAACTTAATAACTAATGAAAAGCTGGGCTCCTAACCAAAAAGTACTGTTGTGTTAATCATTTTACACGTTATGTAGCCCGTTATACAACAAAACGATGATACGTTTATACGTATAGAAGTTAAGCGGACCTAAGTGCTATTCCATAAAACGGGCAGCAGGCGGCGTCGTGGTTCAGGGACTGCGCTGCAAATGCTAAAGTCTTTTTAATGTTTTAAAGTAATTATCCGACATTGTGAAGGGAGGTTTGTGTATTCCCTTGGATAAAACGGTGAGGTAAACGGTCTATACACATCTACAGTATAGCGATTCCTAAACAAGACATAAGGCAGACTTGCCACAGACCTTAGTTTGGATGACGGTATTTTCCTGACATCACTGTTTTTTAGACTCTGCATTTTCTCGGAGTTATAGCAGGTAATGATTAAATCCTTCAGTACAAGCTCTCCCTGAAGTCTTGATAAAAGAGACTTAGACCTGTTTATCTCGTCAGTAACATTGATTACTCTGCAGTTCTTTGAAATCATCCTGCCAACTTCTTAAACAAGCAGCGCATCTTTATCAAAGCACGAGGCCGTAACTGCAGTGTGGGACGCGCTCACGCTGCCATGCTGATACAAACGGAGCAGCACCTGCCTGCCTGCTCTAAGACGCTGGGCTCGTAAATTTTATTTTATCTTGCTGTCCTCACTTTAACCTCTTTAGTCTATTTCTGCAGGAAAAATCTTTTGTGATTTTGTCTTCCTGGCATAACATTTGGACTTCAACTAGAAAAACAAAGTTTATTCAAATCAGCAGTTGGTTTATAAAGAATTAGTGAAATTTGTTAATTTTCATACAGTTTAATATCCTGAAAGTCCAAAAATGTATCTTCAACTGTACTTATGTATTATTAACTTTATCCCCAGTTCTGAAAGTCTTAAATCTGTTGTTGCTGGTATTCAAGAATCGACTGACTGACTGATGACTCAGACAGTGAAACGCTACCAAAAGTGTATTTTTTTTAGTTTAACAAAATATGGGATTGCATTAATATGGAGGATTCGTGAATGGAGTGAGACACTGGTGAGCGAGGAGTTGCAGACGGGGCTCCACATGTGACGTTTGTGCAGATGGCAGGGCGAAGGAGACGTTTAGTACTTTTGTGAAGCTTTTCTTACTGGACTTTGAGCATCTCCGGTAACCTTATCAACGCTGTACACATACCTACGTTTTAAAAGCTGGTCGGAATGGTAAGTGTCGGTTGTTATGGTTATATAAGGTCACACTGAGTGTGTGTGTGTGCTCTCTGAATAAAGGTTTTTGCTTATTTTTTGTCTTGTCGAACATTATTTTGTTATGTTAACCTGTTTAACCCTGAGCCATTTGAAGTATAGTGTTTTACATGATGACATTATTATTAAGGATCTGTTTCAGGAAGCGTTTTGTAGTTATTTTGTTAAAGATTTTGGATTTTGTTAAAGATTTGTTGCTATTTTTAAAACTATTCACTTCCTTTATTTTACAATACTCAGTGCTCACTGACACACACACACACACAAATTATGTGTATGTATATATATATATATATATATATATATATATATATGTGTGTGTGTGTGTGTGTGTGTGTATAGATAGATGGTGTGTTCCTGTATATGTAATTATAAAAATGATGGTATATTATAGTCTTTTTGCCAATTTGAGGTTTACAACTTTTATCATTACTGCTGATAGCAAGTTTCCTTCTGAGTGACTGGAAACATCTTATCCTTCATCTGAATCATAAAAGATAAGTTAATAATGGTTGAGAGCAGCCACATTTTGGCAGCTGTGGAAGCTCCACGTCCCACCCAGATCCCTATAGCTGGCATTAAAGACACAAAGAGCAGGTATGGATATTAATGCAGGGCAGCTGCCCAGACCCATCCGTGCCCCCGGGCTTCACTCCCTCCCTGTAGAGATTCTCATCGCTTGACTTATCTCATCAGCTGTGAACTCCCTGCAGAAGTTAATGAATCACCTTTGTACATTTTTCATTTTTAGATCCTCTGACAATCCAAAATACATATAATTTTTTTTCAGGTTTTGATTGCTCAATCTAAATCAAGTAAGGTTAAAAGTTTGTACACCGGCAGTTAACCTTAATATTCATACATGTAGCATGTAGTGTTAGAGTATGTGTAGAACCATATGGTGCATGTGATGGCAATTCCCTGGAAGGTGCCCCCCCCACACACATCTCAGTCACATGATACCCAGTGCAAATGTTATCATCCCCTTTCTGACAGGCATCTTCATGGTCCATTAACAGTGGTCGTAGATGAGAGGTGCCACCATAATCCCATCACCATATCAACACCTACTTCCAGTTTATTGAGGGGGGCAGGGTTCTGTTAAGCATGGCTGCAGCTCAACTGCTCACACCAAACTCAGCATTTTTGCCATTGAGCTGTTTGCTGAATCATCAATAGCTGAATTGATAAAGGAAGTCAGAGCCAGTATCAAGTTATGCAGCTTTTCCAGCTATTAAATGAAAATAGCTTGTAACAGAACCACTGCTGGCTGTTCAACATCCCCCATAAGTACCAAGCTTCCCTCTGACGGCCTGGAACATCTCTGGAGGCCAAATTACTCTAGCTGAATTTCAAAAAGCCTGGATTTTACATTTTCACACTGGTGTTAAATGTGGCATACTGGGCTAATTAGCAGAATGTTATTAATTCAGAGCAAACATGCAATTAAGCTCTGTGACTCCTCGTTCTCTCAATCTCCTCTGTCGCTCATAGCAAAAGTTTTTAACCCTCCCCTAAAGTTTCGGGTTAATGTTTAATGACTGCTCAGAGTTATATACGCTGCTTTTATGGTGCTCTTTCTTTTCAAATGTGGCTAGTAGTATATTCCGGATTAGAGGAATTTTTTGCTACAGTCACTTCTTGCCCTGTAGGCATTTTGCTATTTTCCACCCCTGGTTTTTCATTTACTCTGAAGCTGAGCCATGGCTGAATGGTGGAGATGGATGTGGAGTCATCGGAATTATTTGATCATCTTCCTGACCCCACTGTTGATCCTGCCCCTGCCCTTGGTCATTAACACCCCGGTAAGATGCCTCTGTATGAGTGCAGACCTACATTCTTTCTGTTTGAACGAGAGCAGGCCTATACTCTTTCTGTTTGATTGAGAGCAGGCCTACCCTACTTCTCTCCGAGTGAGAGCAGGCCTACACTCCTGTTCATGTGAGTGCAGACCTATACTCTTTTTGTTTGAGTTAGAGCAGGCCTACACTCCTGTTTGTGGTAGCGCAGACCTACACTTCTTCTGTTTGAGTGACAGCAGGCTTATACTCCTTCTGTTTGTGTGAGTTCAGACCTACACTTCTCTCATTCTTGTGGGTACAGATGTACACTACTTTCTGTTCGTCTGAGTACAGACCCACACTCCTTCTGTTTTTCTAAGTGCAGACCTACACTTTTATTCATGTGAGTACAGACCCACACTTCTTTTGTTCTTGTGAGTGCAGACCTTTATTTCTCCTGTTCATGAGTATAGACCCTCAATCCTCCTGTTCATCTGAGTGCAGACCTACACTTCTCCTGTTCATTTGAGTACAGAGCCACACTTTGCTTGTTCTTGTGAGTGCAGACCTTCATTCCTTCTGTTTGTGAGTATAGACCCACACTCCTCCTGTTCGTCTGAATGCAGATCCACATTTTTCCTGTTCATGTGAGCACAGACCCACACTCCTGTTTGTCTGAGTGTAGACTTACACTTCTCCTATTTGTGTGAGTACAGACCCGCACTTCTCTTGTTTTTGTGAGTACAGACCTACACTCCTGCTCGTGCGAGTACAGACCCATATCTATTTTATTCTAATGAGCGCAGACCTGCACTCCTCCTGCCTGTGTGAGTGCAGACCTGCACTCCCCCTGTTCAGGTAGTGCAGACCCACACTCCTCTCGTTTGTTACGTGATGTTTGTTTGTTTGTAAGTAGAAATCTGGTCTCCATCTGTGTTTGTGAGAGTGCCCTGTTCTCCATCAGTGACCAGATTCCTCTCCATCAGCTGCTGTCTCTTCAGACCATGGATTTTTTTTTTTGCTTGATCAGTCTGGTAGCAAACGGGAATCTTGAGCACATTTTAGTGGCACATTCTGCTGGATTTTATGGCCAGTGGCTTATTAAGTTTTTATAATCATAAAATGCTGCTCTACACTTTTATTACTGTACTGTACTGAAGGAGGTACCTTTGAAGTATCATAATAATTAATCTTTATTGTAATTACCTGTAATAATAACAATACTGTCAGGACTGCTTTGCTTTGCTTTGCTTAGAATCGTAAATTACTTCTTTAATGAATATTCCCCAAACCTCACAGAGTGGGCATTTTTCGAGGAAGTCACTCTGACTCATATATGGAAACCATAGTTGTGATTGCTGACCCTACCCTGGACTCCAGTCCATCATTAAACACCTAAATGGATCCATATTTTCTAAAGTTCATGGCTTTGAAAAGGTCTTAATGATCTGCTGAAAACATCACGAAGGATTAACAAAAATGCAAGTAGCTGCTTCTGTCACCTGATACGCCTGAGGAAACAGATGTGGTCCCTGCTCTTTGTGTGCATGTGTGTTCTGTGTATGGGTGTTAATACTGACTATTGGCACAGATGCCGTGATTTGATTAGATTCAAATTCACAAGCTAATGATTTGATTCGATCCCAATCCTATAGGAATGAAATATGAATTACTGTATTGCAGTTTAAAAAGCCCTAAACAGAACACAAACTTACAACTGCAGAGTCACTGAAAACAAATTGTAAAAAACACTAAAGAAAAGCCAAAGGCTTGTATACAAAAATATTTCTATTTTAGCAACATACTGTATGGGTATTGCTCCTTAAAAAACAAAGCCAACCTTTCAAAGCACAAAAAATTACTTCTGACTGAAAAGAATAGCTGAAAATAAAAATGGGTAAGTGTAAAATTCACATGCTATGTTTCAGGACTTTAATGTAAAGATATGTGCAAAAACATCAATTGGAATATTTTTATTTGAGGAACATACATGAAAGTCAGCCCTGATCATAAAATTTGATTTACAAGTGCCTGTTTGGATTTCATTGCAACTTCATTTAATCTACATTTGACACACATTCATTAACATGCATTCAAACCAGATCTGTTGTTATATTTTGACCTTGTGGAAACATTTTTTCCCACAAGGGGAAGCACAAGTTTACAAAAATCTGTGAATGCAATCAAAAAACTAAAAATACCATATTTGGTTACCTATGGTTAATGTTAGGGCTGGGTTAGGGGTTAAGGTGTTATAGTTAGGATAGTTAGGTTATGCCCAGAGAAATTAATGGAGAGTCCCTGCAAAGATATAGATACCTAATCTACTGTATATGCCTATGTTTGTATTTTCTCCCTGTGTTTTGCCTGCAGTCCAAAGACATGCATTTAGCTGAATCGGCGTACATAAATTTCCCAGAGTGTGTGATGCTGTGCTCTCTACTGGACTAGCATCCCATCCATGCTACACCCCTGCCCTATACTGCCCCCCCCTGACCTTGTACTAGATAACCAGTTTGGAAGATGGATGAATTAATAAAAATTCAGAAATAAAAATGATCCTACTGCAGGCAGTTTTTTGTAATGTATCCCTCCGATAACCTGGAAAAAAAAACTCCTTGGCTTCCCAGAGACACAGAATAGAAAACAAAAATCCACCGATCAAGCGTGATCATTTATCTCCTGAAATTCTATCAGGCTTGACGCTGTTTAAAGTGCTTTCCTCTTCTCCACTGAGAAAAGGATCTGTGACTTTGCGGGGCTCGGGGCCCACTGGCCTCGGCGATGCCTCTGACCGGAACCGGCCTCATGCTGCTCTCCCGCCTCCCGCTGCAGGAGGCTCGGTGTGGCTTTGTCATCATCCTCATGGCTCTGTACTGGTGCACCGAGAGCCTGCCCCTGGCGGTAACAGCACTGCTTCCCGTCATCCTGTTCCCTATGATGGGCATCATGGAATCCGGAGAGGTACGCCGTGCGTCTGCAGGACGGGCTGATAGAAATCTTAGCAGGCAGCCATCAGAGATCAGGCCTTGAGAGAGATGGGGGAGGGGAGTGTTCAGAGGAGGCTGACTGTGAGTGCTGCCCCCTGCAGGTGTGTGTGCAGTACCTGAAGGACTCCAACATGCTGTTCATCGGGGGCCTACTGGTGGCCATCGCCGTGGAGCA